CTCGTACCTTGGACACAGTCCTGAAAGTTGAGCTGCTTCAAATCCCAGTTGACCGCATTGAATATCCCTCTTTAGACGTGTCTGAAAATCAAAATTATACTCACCATGTTGTTTTTAGGAAGATCTCGTCTTGAATAGACTTGAATATACAACATGGATTATATCTTGAATATCTTCCCTTCTCACAGAATTGGTTACACTTTAAAAAAATCAATCTTTGGGTAATTTCTGGTTTGTTTTGTCAACCTGAACAGCTGTTTGATACACTAGACAGAAGATAATACAATGTCTTTTTGCTTTCTGAAATTTTAGGTAAGTCACTACACTTGATCATCTGGTGTTTATATGTTTGTTTCTGAAAGAAATCTTGTCTCAGTTACAGAAACTCTCATTTTAGAATCCAAATTAACTCGTTTCTACAAGACAAAGTAAATATATTGGTATCAAGGATTTATCTTTATCATTGTTGTATGAAGGAACATCTAAGGACTGATCCTGGTCTGTCACAATTTCTTCTGGTGTAAAGGTACTCCCTTCCTTTCTTACTTCATTCATTCATGGATAGATAGACAGAAGGAAGAAGAGAAATGGATGGATAATCTTAAGTCACTTGCACTTTTTAAAAACTTCATTTTACTTTTTACCGATCACAACTTAATAAGTTTTTTGATCTCAATGAAACAAATCTTACTGTACATATTGGTCTATGATTATTGAACTTAAAATGAAATCATTAAACTGGGTTGACATGGAGTTTTACACCCTACTTTCAGCTCACAATAGGGCTAATAAAGAAAGATAGAATAGGTGAACAGACGACTTAAAGTGTTTGTGCCGTCTATGTAGAAAGGTGAAAATTTAAGAGTTGATGCCCCATCATCTTCTGAACAACTTCCGAAGTCATTGGCCATGGCATCACATTATAATATAAGTAACGGTTGATGAGAGTCATCACTGTGCCATCGTTGAACTCGCTTCCGAAATCATTGGCCATGGCATCACAATGTTGTCTTAAGCAAGATTCATGATCAGTTCACTAAGGTCGCTCTCAATCAACAGATACATGTCACAGTGCTGTGTAGAATAAAAGTTGTTAAAATTTGTCTTTGTGGTTTTGTTTTTTTTCAGGGCAAAGGAGGATTAGGAAATAACCAGAATAAATGGTGGATATTATGAGATGTCCTAGAGTCATTCCTGTATAAAAGAGACCACATTGTTGATCAGTCCATTCCCCAATGATATTTGGATGAGATTTTATATAACTCTTCAATGTGCTGTCACCAGTCTCGTAAAAGCAGACTATAATGAAATTTAATAGTTTTATGTCCTACCCCTTCTTTGACGCAGACTTATAGGTATGCAGCACACCGAACAATGGCAAAGACCCAAAGGGTCTGTTATGAATTCCTTGAAGACTTGACATTGCAGAAAAAATTCTCGCATAGTTACAAAAAAGGATTAGTGTTGACGCAATTATGACGTAGATTCTGTCATGAAGATGACAATATAATAACGTTAGTCGACGTGGCCATGTTGATGTCTATAAAAACGTTAGTCTACGTCACCATGTCGATGTCTATAACAACGTTAGTCGACGTCACCATGTTGATTATCTATGATAACGTTAGTCGACGTCGCCATGTTGATGTCTCTATAATAGCGTTAGTCGACGTCGCCATGTTGATGTCTCTATAATAACGTTAGTCGACGTCGCCATGTTGATGTCTCTATGATAACGTTAGCCGACGTCGCCATGTTGACGATGTCTGTAATAACGTTAGCCGTCGTCACCATGTTGATGTCTATATAATAACGTTAGTCGACGTCGCCGTGTTGATGGTTGTCTATAACGTTAGCCGACGTCACCATGTTGATGTCTATGATAACGTTAGTCGACGTCGCCATGTTGACGATGTCGCCATGTTGATGTCTCTATGATAACGTTAGTCGACGTCGCCATGTTGATGTCTCTATGATAACGTTAGTCGACGTCGCCATGTTGACGATGTCTCTATAATAACGTTAGTCGACGTCGCCATGTTGATGTCTATAATAACGTTAGCCGACGTCACCATGTTGACGATGTCTGTAATAACGTTAGTCGACGTCGCCATGTAGACGATGTCTATAATAACGTTAGCCGACGTCACCATGTTGATGTCTATAACGTTATGCGCCGTCGCCATGGTGATGTATCTATAATAACGTTAGTCGACGTTACCATGTTGAAGTGTCTGTTATGACAAAAGACGGCGTCGCTATACTGAAATTAGTCAACATCACCATGGTTACGTAGCCACATTTACGTTCCTATGATGTCGCTGTGTTGCTATAATGATTGGCAATATTTGTATATATTTCCTGCCCTTGAAATTATCGAATAAATTATATTTAAGTTTCTTTTTCCCTTTTTCAACAATGTAAGAACTGCCAAGATCAGTGGCTTAGCCAGGATTTCATTGACGTTGGGTGAGGGGGACGACCCGGTGTCTTTTTTGCAGACAGTTGTATGGGTGGAAGAGTAAGCATGGCAGATCGCTTGAGTTGAAACAACCACCTCAATCTTATCTGATTCTTAACGTTCTGGTGATCCAGGAAAATCACAACAGATTAGCATTCTTCCAGTCATAGACAGGACAATAAGGCAGCTATGTAACTCTGTCTACAAGGTGGAATAGTTAGCATGCCCTACCTCACGGGCACTAAAATCCAAGCCATAATCATTATTTGTGTACTCAAATATGATCAAAACATTTATAGACTTTAGCAGAACAAATGTGTACACGATTATGCTGAAATAAAATGTTATTTTGAAGAGACTGCATTGCACATCCAGGGGTATAATTCATTTTGGGAAGGGGGGGGGGGGGGGGGGCTATATCTCCCTTTAGTAGCTCCAGTAGTATGGGCCTGTGCACATCTTGGAAGTACTGGGCGTTTCATTAAAATGGTACGGTTTTTACCACAACTCATGTTAATCCCCGTAAAAGGCCTTTGTTTAAGAAGCCGACATTCAATTTTTAACACCATTTCAATGTAAAAAGGGCAGAAACAATTGTTTTTAATAAACATTTAATTGTAGTCTGAGGCGGGTTGCGGTTATTCTTTACTGATGTGGCTATATTTAGATGTTTAGAGAAACCCGTTTTCTCAGCCAATCAAAACACAGAAGCTGCAGACGACAAGAAAAAAACATGGCGGTGCGCATGAAAAAATGTGGCCGGAAGAAAAATGAAAGAAAACTTAGTTTAGAAAGATATTTTGATAAAAATCTTTCTGTAGGAACGAAGCAGGTAACTTGTTTTATCAATTTCATGTGTTGTCACTCATAGTTTAGGGCAGAATTTTTAGGAAAAGGCGTTTTTCCATTTTGTCTCGGTAGTCTCGATTTTCAAGTCCAAGAGAAAAAAAAAACATTTGATGGCCCCAACA